TATCTAGAGTGATATGTCTAAATGACCTCCATTTTTTTTTCTTGGAAAGATGAGATAATTTCCTACAACTTTCATGTTTTCAAGTGTGTTAAATAACTAATCTTAATTTGTTATTAATATAAGTTATAATCATGAATGTCTGATAACATTTACAAGTATTAACATTATTCGAATAAGATAACTAATGTAATCATGTTAACAATTTATAATCTTATTGGAACCTCCTTTATATATGGTTTCCAATTGAATAATAAGAGTTTATATTGTACTTGTTTGACATATTATTAGTAGATCCTCTAATCTTAATATTTGTTATTATTATTATTTAATCCTTACATTTATCTTCCATCTTAAAGTTCTTATCAACTTCTTCTTCTTTATTATTACTACTACTACTACTACTACTATTACTACTATTATTATTATTACTACTATTATTACTATTACTATTATTAGTAGTAGTATTACTATTATTATTGTTGTTGTTGTATTATTATTATCTATAATTTATACAATTAATCTCCTTGTGGTTCAACCCCGGTCTTGCTGAGTTATTTATTATTTCAACACTCTTGCACTTGGGAGAAGATATTAATCTTTTAATCGTGTCATCTGGGTTTAAATATAAATTTCAAGATGATATATTCTTTCAAAAATAATAAGATGACAACATATTAGATTGGTCAGAGTTTCACAACCTAACTTATCAAACCCGTGACTTAAGTCATAGGCTCCATTAGGTTTAATTTTTTTAAGATTATTTTTGATTTGATCGTATGATAAGAAAAAATAATCACTTGTAAAATCAAGCATTAACACAATGTCAAGGCATTTGCTTAAGATCTCAATAACTTCATAGAGAGTAAATTGAACAAGTTATAAAGTTTAATTTCTAATCATTCAAAGTTAACCAGCTAAATCCATGACTTAATTCATGAAAACAATTGGGTTCAACTATTTTTTTATTTTTTATTAATTATATGATAACAAAAATAAATGATTGTAAAATTGAGAACCAACAAAATATCAGGATATTTGTTTAACATTACAATAAACCTATAAATATCAAAATGAAATAATTTTGTTGCCGAATTAAAAATCAATAAAATATTAAATGATGAAGTTTTAAAAAATCAACAAGAAAATTCAATAAATATCCAATTATAAAGGATAAAACTTAAAAAATCAATAAAAAAATAATCAAGTATGCACCATTGGTTGACTTAGAACTTTAAGGCCTAAGAATAGTCATGTGGGCCTAGGGTAGCCCATGCACATAGACTTACTTATTCTTTTTTTTTTTAAAGTGTGGATATGTTACCTTTTCATTTAAAATAAATAAATAGTAAGTAATATGTCACATGTTGTTCTAAATTTTAGCTATTATAAGTGTCAAGAAAGTTAGATAGCCAATTTCCATGGAAAAAAAACCTATTTTATCCCATATTTTGTTTTTCAAAAATACTTGAAAAATACTCTAAGGATTTTAAAACATTTATTTCTAGTATCAAAGTGGTATTAATTCAGTTTGAATACCTCAAATCAACCTGAATTAAAATAAAAAAAGCTCAATTTCAAACCTATCTTTTCAGGTAATGGAAAAGTTAAAGAATATCCCAATAAAACTTTTATCATCAAATAAAATTTATAGATATTAAAATTGAGTTCAACCAATAATTTTTTTTTAATTGCTAAAATACAACAATTTTTTTTCTCTTAAAACAAGGAACTGAGAAATCAAAAAAGTGATTTTTTTACTAAAATTAAAATTTTGAAATCTGAAAGTACAAAAAATATTATCATTTGAAATGTAGCATCAAAGTCGACATTTATATAAATTTTGAATTTTCTGCTCGTTCTCTCTATTTATTTCACTCTTGTTCTTTATTTTTTAATCTTGTATTTTCTTAATGAATTTACTTAAATTAGCTATCAGTTTAGTTTTATAATTGCAAAATCAAAAATTAAATTATCAATTTAAAAAAAAAACTATCGCAATCCTTAGTGCTGCTATGTATGGTGTTTGATGACGATACAAGTAAGGATCATGTGCTGTGGTTCCCTTTTGTTTTTTTTAAACACTGAAGTTTCCTTCTTTTTTCAGTTGATGTCAAGCTGCAATCGTGAGACAAGTGTACCTGTCCATCATTAACCGTGTCATTATGATTGAACAGTTAGATTTTCTCACGTTGCATAAAATCCGTGACTTTTACTTGCTGTGGTCCAGTCCAGTTTCTTTGCTTTGCCTTTGGAACCAGAAACCAGGAGATTCCTTCCTCCTTCTTGAATTTGCTCAAACAACCAGGAGATTCCTTCCTCCTTTTTGAATTTGCTCAAACACACATCATCAAAAGAGGTTAGTGTTGTTTATGTATGTTGTTTGGTCTCATGGTCATCATTTCTTAACCAAATCTTAGCCACCAAAGGAGTTTCTTGTATCAATCTATATCCTGTACCGAGTTCTTTATCCTTGATTTAGTACAATCTAGCTGTCGGGGTTTTGATTAAGTTTTCCTGATGGGTTCCTTATAAATTCTTTACCTCTTTCTTTAAAGTTGTTGCATTCAAATTTGGCTAAAATGCTGGTTTAGATGAAACTAGATGTCAAGGAGCATAGACCCTATTCCTTAGTTACAAATTTCTGTGTTGAAGAGATTTTTATTTTTTTTTGAGTTTCTTCTGATGAGTACCATGGTCTCCCTATCTGAGCACAAGAGATGGGTCTTATTCTTAAACATCTCTTTTCTATTGGTGGCATGTACTTTCTTGATTGTGCAATTCAATTCTGCTGAATTTCTAGTACTGAGAAGTGCTGAACCTTTCAAGGATAATGGTCAACAAGACTGCCAGGGATTGGTTAATCTAGATGACTACAAAACCAAGTGCTTTTACTTTAAATTACATAATCCATGTGTCTCTCAAGGCTATATTGACTACCTTTACCTTTTCTATTGCAATTTCGAAAGATTTCCTTTTTTGGGCTATTGTCTTCTTTTTCTTTGGCTCCTGATATTGTTCTATCTGTTGGGGAACACAGCTTCTGAATACTTTTGTTCTTCACTTGAAGACTTGTCTAAGCTGTTGAATTTGTCTCCTACAATTGCCGGGGTTACCCTCCTTTCACTTGGAAATGGTGCCCCTGATGTTTTTGCTAGTGTGGTGTCTTTTATGGGTGATGGGACATCAGACTTTGGCTTTAATACAGTATTAGGTGGTGCTTCCTTTGTTACTTGTGTGGTTGTTGGAATCTTAGGCATTTTGGCGAGGCAAGAGGAATTTAGAGTCAACAGGGATGCCTTTGTGAGGGATATTTGCTTCTTCCTTTTAGTTCTTGCATCCTTAATTTTCATTTTGATTTATGGCAAGATCAACATGTGGGGTGCTATGGGTTTTTTGTTGATGTATATTGTTTATGTGATGGTTGTTTACATTTCATAAGTACATTGGAATGGTAGTATAAATGAAAGCGAAAGGGATCATAATTCAAGTAATGGAAGTGATTTAAGCATACCAATTTTAATCAACATGGAAAAAGGGGAGCAAAATTATGTGAAGGAAAGTGGTTTTGAATGCGGTCCTGAAGTAGAAATGAACAAATGTTGCTTTTGCTTAAGATTATCAGCTCCATGCAGTACCCTTCTCCGAATCCTTGAGATGCCACTTCCTTACCTAGGAGATTGACAATTCCTGTTGTTTGTGAAAAGAGATGGTCCAAGCCAACCGCGGTTGCTTCAGTGACATTAGCACCAGCAGTGACATTAGCACCAGTTCTCTTATTAGCTCTTTGGAACGCCCAAGATGAGTGTGCTTCTCTTATCAGCTCTTTGGAACGCCCAAGATGAGTGTGCCACCTTCAACACAATCCTAATAGTCAATGGAATTGGGTTGATGTTCGGAATGACATTTGGGGTTCTTGCATGTGCAACAACTGAGAATTCAGGTCCACCAAAGAAGTGCTTGCTTCCTTGGCTAGCAGCAGGGTTCTTAATGAGTGTGACATGGAGTTATATTCTAGCTCAGGAACTCGTAGGCCTGTTAGTTTCACTTGGGTACATTTTTGGAATTAGTCCTTCTATACTAGGACTAACAGTTCTTTCCTGGGGAAACTCAATTGGTGATTTGATAACAAATTTGATTTTGGCTGTGAATGGTGGCCCAGAAGGTGCACAAGTTGCTATATCGGGCTGTTATGCAGGTCCCATTTTCAACATCCTTTTTGGTCTAGGATTGTCTTTGGTTGGCTCAGCCTGTTATGCGTACCCATCACCTGTTGTGATCCCAAAAGATCCATATCTATTGGAGACAGTAGGCTTTTTAGTAGGTGGCCTGCTTTGGGCACTTGTTGTTTTACCCAGGAGAAATATGAGGCTTGATTGGGTGCTGGGAGGAGGACTCTTAGCTATATACTTGATGTCTGTTTCTTCGAGGGTAATTCAAACTTTGAGCTCTCCAATTTGATAATACACATGGTTAGCTGTAACTAGCTTCCTTCCTGTACAGTGATTGATAGCTGTAGAGTAGCACTTCAGGTGATGAACTAATTAGCTACTTCTGAGTGAAAGTTTGTTTATTTCTTTTAAGCTTCCATGAAAATTAGAATGGTCCATAAACCGTAATTTGTAATCTTGATGACACAAATTTGAAAGCTATCAGAATGAATTCAGCAACTTGTTTGAAGACCATTTTTGCATAATTCATTTTTATTGTAATTTTGACGAAATGATGAATTTATACTAATGTGCGATACCCTGGTATTTCAAGACCTGAGAATAATAATCACAGAACATTTCGCAGAGCAATTGATGGGGCCTGGACTATTTTCATATATAAAGCTGTTAGAAAATAATTTGGGATTTCATTTGATTCTCCAACTGTTGGATATCATGATTGGATCCTTGATTTCAGTATTGTTTCAACATGATTCTGGAAGATATTTGTTTGATTTATATGCATGTATGATTATTTTTCTCGTTAAGTAAGAGATTTAAGTGTGTGACTTGCATGCATGAAGATGCAAATGATGGAACTTGGGATTTGGGATGGTGATATGCCGCCTTGTCAATCACTAGTTTAGCATGGTTCTGTCAAGAAAACAGATTGATAGATGTAAATATTGTGGGTTAGCATAGCTTCAAATATGAAAAGGAACTTGTGTTTTTCTTAGCAGAACAATACAGAAAAGAAATTTCATCTGATTGATTGTCAGGTTTTGCTTTTTGCGCATCTTTAGCTGTCATGGTTCTTTTCTCCAACATGCAGCGATTTCCATGGTATATACATCATCATAGTTAGACATACAGGGAGACTCACTTACCAAAAATCTTGATCAGGTTTATACTCTGCAGTACTTCAATTTTGCTCATTCCAACACAACGAGGAATTGAGTGATTCTCAATATTTATGTGTTAAGCAGTTTAATGGTGATGCAAAATTATCTGGAGGCAGCCCACTATTAGGAGGAAGCAACCAAACTTATCACATTCAGCTTTGGTCCATCTTAGTGGCCGTGAGAAAATATTTCCTGGCTAGTAACAGTCCAAACTCCAAACTATATCTAGCTAGACACTGAAGGTTTTGTTTTGATGTAGAAACGCCAGAAGCAAAATGATAATCGATATTGGAAGCGAATGAAGATGACAAAAGCAGAGTTGCTTTATTATATTATGAATCTAACTAACAATATTCACAAGTCAACAGAAACGTCAGCAGAAAAGGATTAGATTCAATGCAGTCAGTCAATTCGGCCTGCGTGAGCTGCATTAGCAAACAACAGAGTTTGGCCCCAATAGAAAATGCTTACAGAGCCTGCGCCAAGTTTTATGGAGGCACATTATGGCCGAGACATCTGCTGCAACAATTGCAGAGACGTAGAGGCCTTGGATTTAGCTGATTTTGACGTGATGGCAAATGATTATAAAGAATGAAGATACTGGCAAGCTTGTAATATAATAGATACAAGGCTTCGGTAGACAATCATCTTTGGAACCAAATCTCTCAAGTTTTATTAATATCAAATATGTCTAATAAATAATTAGTAATATCAAAGATGCCTCAACTTTACTAGAGAATGCTAGCCAGGAGACTTCGGTAGACAATCATCTTTGGAGACTCGGCTATGTTGCAGGTAGTTCTTCTTTGGAAGGTTAGGATGCTGTGGATATGTTTTTCGATGTATGAAATTTTTTTATTAAAAATATGATATTTGCATTTTATTAAATGAAATAAAAAATATATGAATTGATAAATTATAAAGATAATTGTTAACATTAATTAAAAATTAAATTTAAAAATTTGACATTATACCTGTCTTCATATACTTCAACTCTTATTGAAAATAAACTTCACAATGAACACCTTCTTTGTCTTTTATATTTCTTAGTAAAGATAGAGTGTTGTAGATTTTATAGATTGGAGCTTTTTAAGGATCTATATTTCAACTTGGTATGTATATGTATGTTATTTACAATGAATGAATGTATATATATGAATGAGAATGTATGTACATGCATATCGGGTATGAATTAACCTTTTCAAAGAGCTTATCTATAGCTTTTTTATGTTTAGTGCAAGCAAAAGCCTACAGTTTAATCATCTCAAACTCCTTTTAGGAAAACCTATGGTTTTAGCTTAAAAACCCTACTAAGTTCAGGATTATTGATAAGGTCTTTCTGGATGCAAAATGAATTATTATGGAGTTTGCATCCTAAAAGCAGGTTCTAGGCCATTGCATAAAGGGTTGACTCATTACCTGATCTCAAAATAGTCTATAAGTTGCTTAGTGACCATCTTTCATGAAGGCAATATAAAGATCTACAAGGAGTGGTTGGGGTACATTATAACCATCATTACTAAGTAAACATTTAATTTATAGTTGGATGTTTTACGAATCTGAACCCCGACTGAAAGTCATAAAATAGACTGCTACTTCTCACCTAACCTAAAAATATCATATTAATTTAAAATATGAGAAATATTTTTATTTATTTATATAAGCTTAGAAAACTTTTAAGAATTGGTTGTATATATGAAAATAAAACATTTTTTTTGTTTTTTCAAAGAGGAAATTAATTTAAAATTTTTTGAATTTTCAAATTTTTTAAAAGAAAAGTTTTGGAAAAAACTGGGTATTTTAATATCGAATCCGTATCTTGCAATGTAAATATATAGCTCAATATTATGCAAAATTGTTGGAAAAACATGCAAGAAAATCACAAATTATTTGAAATAACCTTGGAATTTTATTTTTTTATTATATAATATTACATTACTATCATTACTACTACTATATTATTAAAGATAAATTAGGTTGGAGAGGGTTGGCCCAAAATGAGTTCAGCCTAATTAGCGGCCCAACATACCTTCCTTCTTCCTTTTTTTTTCCAAGTAGACTAGACCCTGCCCAACCATCAGGGCTAGGTTCAGCCCAGGCCAGGCCTATATGGTTGCTGGCTCGGTCCAACGACCATGTTAATTATTTTCCTTGCATGTAATGGTTGAGTGAGCCATAGAAGAAAAAGAAGAAGACGAGCATGTTGACTGGTGCAACAGTGATGGCTGATCATGTTGGAATGTCAATATGAGGCTGGAGGTAGTGTTTATGGGTGATCTGACAATATAGAAGCAAGAGAGATGAGACATTTATGGCGAAGAGGAAGAAGTTTGCAATGGCTATTCCTAATCCAAAGGTGGCTTGCCAGTGGTTAAATTGGTGGCTTGGGATGGTTTTGAGGTCGAGATGACTAAGGACACAGTAGTGGAGAAGGAGAAAGGACGGTTGAGATCAATGATAGAGAAAGAGGCTAGAAAAATAGGGGTAGGGGCAGCATTTTTCAAACATTAGCTTCAGATTTCCCCCCTTTAAGTGCATGGAATCCAACCTTATTTATAAGAGTTGGAAGAGGGATATTTACTCTTTAATGGTATCAAATTTTGGCACTTTATTCAACCTTAAAGGATTTCAACTATTGGCTCAAAGTAGGTATCGCAAAATGTCAAATTTAGCAATTGAAGATTGTCTGAGTGACACGACTAAAAGATTGATGTCTTCTCCCAAGTGCAGGAGTGTCGAAGTAATAAATAACCTAGCAAGACCGGGGTCGAACCATAGGGAGGTTAATTGTACAAATTATAAATAACAATAATA